CTCCAGTAGCACTGCCACAGCGTTCCCAGGAATAACGGTGACTGTAGCGGCCGTGATACAAAACCTCCCTCCAAGCCACACAAACCCACCAAACTGTACAGAAGGGAGCAGTTACGCCACCAGCACCACCCCACCAAACCACAATTACCTGACGTGGAAGATAGGTGTTTTCCCCTGCTTCTCCAATCTTCCAGCGTGTGTGTTTATCAGACGTTTTAACACCGACTCGAAAACACACTCACAGTTCTTTACATTTGAACAGGGACGTCTGTCCCGGCCTGGCGGCCTGCGGGGTGTGAAAAATGGCTTCACGTAACCAGTCAGTGTGGACTTTGTTATTTCAAACAAGCTGGAGCACATACCTCTTCACAGAAGTGCTTCAGTTTTAGTTAACTTTTGCTGTGTAACGGGATCACGCTATAAACTAAACTTGACTATCGATAATTTGGTATTATTTTTGGATGATAAATGTGTCTCCAGATCCACAGTCGCACTGTTCTCTCAGTCCAGACCCCCCCAGTGGGGTCATATTAATGGTACTTTGTTACCTTCACTTAGTTATTTCTAAATCCAATTTAAACTTGCCCTCTTCTTTGCATGAACTCTGACAAAGTTCAGTTGAAGCTTTCTTTGTGTCCCAATAACATTGGTATTCGGAGTCAATGGTTACATTTTCATCTTACCAGGAATTCTGTTTTCTCAGAGCTATTCTCACTTTTTAACAGCCTTGCCTATATCTGGCTTGTAATTATTTGAACATTCCTTTATGATAAACAGTATAATAAATATTGTACTGTATGGTTTAAATAGCTAATGCATCTACAAGTACAGTTTATGGAAGTAAAAGATACTTCATCCGAGGCATTTAACTTGGCCCAGTTAACACCTTCAGAGCTGACAAACACTTGAAAAACAGTCAGGAAGGTAAGCAAAAATTTTCAGTGTAGTTTGAAACATCTCTTCACTGAAAAAACACAGTAGTCAGGATTTTTGCCTTTTCTGACTGTTCTCAAATCCATCTTTGAAGGACCTCTCCAAGTTTGAAGTTACTTCTTTGGAATTTTAAACGCTATCTAAATGCCCATGGTTTTTCCTGAAAAGGGAACAGACTTGAACTTAACAGCCTATGAGGTGAGAAGAGAGCTTATGGATAATTTACTATCAGCACGGCTTTAGGTTAAAACCAAAATGAAAACTTCTCTCAGTCTTCAGCTTCACCTACCATATAACAACAAACAAAATCTTAATCGAGTATTGCACAAAAAGAAGGCATTAAACCGGAGGAAGCGAGCCAGTCCCAGGCGCTCAGAGCACTGTGCATGAGTTACTGTTCAGTGCTTACCAAAAACCCCATGAATCGACTGCAACAAATACAAAATTCGGCTCTGCGTGGAGACCTTTTGTAGCTGGTTTAGATCCTTATCCTGTGTTTCTTCTTGTGTACCACACGAAGTTACCCTGAGAACTGCCTGCCTCGAGGGCCCAAGTTTTTCAACAAGCTAGAAAAAAGTAAGGCACTACTAAAAACTATGAGCATCAGGAGGGCATAAGGCACCAGAGAAATAGAAATCTGGTGTAGTTCAGTGCTTTGCTGAGCTGCAATGCTGCTGAAATTGCCACCCCAATGTCACTGTGCCCTTTCAGTCTAGAAAGCCATCTTAAAGAATAACAGCAATATCCTTCAAGCATTAATCCCTTCACATATAGACACTTGCTGGTTTGCTGTGAGGATGAAGAGCACAGAAACCCAAGTTTCAGTATCAGAAACATAAACAAAGAAAAGAACTATTAAAAACTGACAGTGCCTCAGGAAGATGAAGTTTCCTCAGTCTGGAACTCAGCCTAACTAAGGTGGTGGCCAGGGAGCAGAGCAGCAGCTTTTACTTCAGCACGGAAACCTGAACTGCATCCAAGAAAATCACCCCTCCTTTGTCCACAGACTTCCAAGAAATAATGTGAACTTACCCCTAAGTTCACCTGCCTCTGTCATCGCTCATGGTCTGAAACACAGCTCTGCCACACCACTCTTACTTTGCCCCCAGTTCAGTGAGAACCCTACAGCAAACAGATCCTTTCTGGGTAATCATCCAGCGACCACTGTTCATCGGCAAGCCACCTGGACCCAGGAGCTGTATCACAACGTGCTGCTGCTGGGGAACATGCAGCGTTGTGTCAGTGCGCTCCTGCAGGGATAAAGGCAGTGTCTCAGAAGTGTACACATACAGCAGTGGAACGGCAGAAGCCAAGGTTTTCTTCATGCACACCATTTTCAAGGCAGAGATACAGCTCTCAGCCACGTTGTTTCCACAGTCTGCTTAGCAAGTGTCTGCTCACTAGCCACTTGTGCAAGTGAAGGACTGGCCAACAAGAGCGTCTGATAAAGCACGTGAGGATCTGACTGCAACTGCAGTCCACAGCACTGCTTCAAAAACACCTGCCTGACAAAACACTGCTGAGCTTTGTGGCTGAACCAGACAATTTTGTTTCCTACAGACTAATTCTGGATCAGCCCATCATGACTGTGGGATGAGAAGTCGTACATTTGAGCTGGACTGCAGTAGTCTGGAGTAGTGAGAGGCAAGTACAACAAAAGCCGCAGGAACCAGCAGTGTTTCTTGGCGACTGGAAAGCAGGACTGACCGACCATAACCCAGTACCGATGCTACCGTGCGCATCAGCAACTGTTTTGTAGTGAGTAAACGCACAGCAGTCTGCATACCAGTCACAGCTACAGTCTGGAGTAACAGCAGGCAGCAATTACTGCAGTAATCATACCAAAGTAATTAAATCTAATGTTTAAATACCAACAGACTATTAATGAAGCATGGAGTCATTCTTGCCTCGTAAAACTATTCTACTTTACGTGATGCTGAAAGTACTGCATCCCACACAGACCCATTACTTACAAGAGTTAGGATCATGAGTCACTATAGTCAAGATTTACTGCATGAGAACTACGGCGTAAACTACTACTAGTGCCACAGTTACAAATAATAGTATTACTATTAGGGCATTCTCACTCTGTGGTGTGAGGTTTTTTCAAATTTATGAAGAGTGGAGAACAGTTCCAAAGCAATTCATAAAACACATTATGGAGAATTACGCAGAGGAACGCCAGCTGACTTGCTCAGCTATCCCACTGTCATAGATCCCTCCCGTTACACTAAATTATCATTTTTCCACTAACTGTTGCCACCGGAGCTAGCCCAAACTACTATGGGAAGTAAATAATGCTTTAAAACTGGGCAGAGGAAATCAGCACCAGCATACTGCACCTTAGTCTCCTCCAAGAAGCACTCCAGCACAGCCATGGCTGGTCCAGCTGTGAGGCAGAAGACTGAACAAGAACCACGCATCACAGGTTAGGGCTCAGAGACTGAACAAAGTTTAAGCTGAACCAGATCAGTACCCTCTTCAGAACTGCCTGACTGACAGACCAAGAACAAGTACCATGTGTTCAGAGTCATGCTTCCAATATTTCTATATTCTCAATGTGTGCATTTATGTTATTAAGAAACAGAATCAGTATTTTCTCTAAAACACATTTGTCATATAACCAGTGTAGCTGTACCATACATACTCCTTCCAGTATAGTAAAGATTTATACTAACCTATTTTGGACCAACAGATCAACGTTATTTCACAGGTTGTTCCACCTCTCCTCCACAGAAATAAACTGCAGTCTTCACTAACAAAAAAACTCAATTTCAGGAATCTTTTCACAGAATCACACAGAATCACAGAATCGCTCGGTTGGAAAAGACCTCTGAGATCATCATGTCCAACCGTTCCTGTCTACCCCCTAAACCATATCCCTAAGTACCTCATCTACTCGCTCTTTAAATACATCCAGGGATGGTGACTCCACCACCTCCCTGCGCAGCCTGTTCCAGCTTCTGACGACCCTCTCAGTAAAGAACTTCCTCCTTATCTCTAACCTGAACCTCCCTTGGCACAGCTTGGTGCCGTTTCCCCTTGTTCTATCCTCCATCACCTGGGAGAAGAGACCAGCACCCACCTCTCTACAACCTCCCTTGAGGCAGTTGTAGGTGGTGATGAGGTCTCCCCTCAGCCTTCTCTTCTCCAGGCTAAACAAGCCCAGTTCCCTCAGCCGCTCCTCATAAGGCTTGTTCTCCAGAGCCCTCACCATCCTTGTGGCTCTTCTCTGAACACGCTCCAGAATCTCAACATCCTTCTTATAGTGAGGGGCCCAGAACTGAACACAGGACTTGAGGCGTGGCCTCACCAGTGCCAAGTACAGGGGGATGATCACCTCCCTGGACCTGCTGGTCACACTGTTTTTAACACAGGCCAGGATGCCATTGGCTTTTCTGGCTACGTTTTTCTTCACACCTCTGGTTCCAATTCACCTTATGACAAGTCAAAACACTTTGATTTAACAGTAACTCCCTCAGTGACACTGCACTGTTTAGCAGTTACGATGCGTTTATTGCATGGTTAATAAGTAGAACATAAATGACAAGGGAAACTGCTTTTATTTCAGCAACTTCTCAACAGCAGCAAGAAAAGTGAGGAAATGGAGCACAGAATTTACTAATGCTTTCCTTGAGTCTACTTTAGAGACAGAGTTCCTCTTTCTCCTTGTCTTTGAACTTCAAAATACTTCCGAACAATCTGTTAGAACTTCAAGACAGGTTCTATCATAAGTATAAATTAGCTCCCAAGTTTAAAAAATATTCTATAAAGTGCTTCAACCAGGATTTGTTCAGCTCAAGGAATGACTTTTATTTAAGCATCTTGAAAACCAGTATTTCGTTGAGCAGACACGGTATCACAGATAAATAATACCTGAAACATCAGTACAAACAAACTTCTCTTACAACATCTTTCCAGAATTCTTCTGAAAAGGGGTTTTGAGCTGATAAAAATAAATTCTATTCATTACCCTGAAAACCAGACAGGTGTAACCAGGATCCAGTCACTGGATAACAACTTTTCTGTGGCAAGATTTAGTTCCTGTTTGCCTTTCACATTCATCGATGACAGCACGTATGTTGCTACGTAAACATGTGGCTATGTAGATCCATATGAAAAAAGTCTTTTCGAACACTTGTCAGCATTTCAACTCCATGTTCTTCGTTATGGAAACAGATGCACGGATCCGCAGTCTTCACAACACGCGAACACGAAGGACGTCATTTCCGGAAGCGTTTGAAGAGCGGATGGATGTGCTTGTTTGAAGACGCCTTGCTCCGGGAAGAGTGGTATTCCATGTAAACCGTGTCATCTGCTCCTGACAGGGAGCTCATTGTGCCCGTACGCCGCGACACCTGCAAGCAGAAGGAGGAAACACACATGCTTGGTGTGTGACTACACAGACCAGCCCTAACCCACTGATGCCCGCTGGCTAC